TGAATATTTTAATATAAATAATAAAATTTAAATTTAGCTCCTATCCTTTACATCCTACGATTGTGACTGGAATTGTTAAAACAACTGGTTATTCACTAACAGCCTGTCAGCCTTTGATCGGCTCCCTCAGCAAAAGAACAATGCTCTCAATTTATTACAAAGTAGAAGTCACATCTTAACTTACCCAAACGCCATCCCTTCCATCCTGCACCACACATCCATTATAGCAAGCCACCACGTACGCCAATGACAGTCAACAAGAAACCACGGTGGATACTTCATGCATCCCCTCCATCGCCACCACACATACTTCCGCCCTCTTGACCCTTTTCTTCTCTTCCTCTCTTCTACCGTCTCACCTGCTTCTACCACTATCGGTGCCATGGCAGATTGGGTTGTTGGTCCAGTCATGGATAAGCTCATCAACGCTTGCTGTGATTACCTGCAAGATCACCACTTTAGATGGCAGACAGGCATGAAGGAGCAGCTCGAAAGGCTGCGAGAGAACCACCCCAAGATACGGGCTGTGGTCTCTGCTTACACCCGAGCACAGATCACAGATCGCAACCAGGCTCTCAACAGATGGGTATGGCAGCTACGAGATGCCATCGATGAGGCCGATGATGTTCCTTGATGATGATGTTCTTGATGACTTTGAGTACATGAAGCTTGAAGAAGAACAACAGGAGTTGAACATGGAGGAAACAAAGGTGCGTTCTTCATTCACTAGATTATTTTTGGAACCTCCTCGCAAACTTCTCAGAGTCTGCGAACGAGCTCTCAAGAAGGATCCCAACTTGGAGAGACTGGAGGCAGTTGTGAAGAAACTTGATAAAGTTTCAGCTGAGGTCACTACTTTCCTTCATCTCTTAGGAGCAGCAGGACAGGAGCAGCAGGAGCAGGAGCTTCAGTTGTGCAAAGCTCGTGAAACAGGATCCTTGCCTAAAACTAATCTCATCGGTCGAGGCAAGGATAAGGATTTTGTTATGCAGTGGTTGAGGAGGCCAACAAACGAAGATCCAACTCATATTACCAGCTCTACTTTGTACAAAAACATTTCTTTTCTATCTATAGTGGGTCATGGTGGCATGGGCAAGACAGCTCTCTTGCAACACATCTATGAAGATCTGAAAGAAGAATTTGACCTGAATATGTGGGTTTGTGTTTCGAACGACTTTGATACAAAAAAGGTCATTGCCGATATGTTGGGATTTCTTAATAGGGAGAGGCCTCGTTCGGAGTCACTCGCTGCCTTTCAAGAGAGCCTTAAAGCTGCCGTGCAATCGAAAAGGTTCTTGCTTGTTCTGGATGACATTTGGGAGGAAGATATGAACAAATGGGAGAATGTACTCTGCCCTCTGGTTTACGGAGGTTTGGGAAGTAAGGTTTTGTTGACTACCCGGATGGATACAGTTGCATCCGCGATTGCAAATGTGGTTAGTAAGGATAAAGAAATTTATCCATTAAAGGGCTTGGACGAAGAAGTGTGTTTGAAGCTACTCAACACCCATGCATTTGCTGGTGTAGATGACCTTGGCTCTTATAAAAAATTAAGAGACATTGCTAGTTTGATAGTTAAAAAGCTTTCAGGATCTCCGCTAGCAGCAAAAGTCATCGGTGGTGTTCTCAATTCTAAACTGAATGAAAGCTTTTGGATGAACATTTTAAATAGTCCTGATGTTCTAAACATAGAACCAGAACTGGGTGGCAATAACATTATGCCTATTTTAAGATTGAGTTTTACGTTCCTCCCACAACCTCTACAAAACTGTTTTGCTTTTTGTGGCATATTCCCACAAGATCATCAGTTTGATAAAGACGATTTAGTCCGAATGTGGATTGCACTGGGTTTCATTCAGGAATCTTCTATTGAAGGAGAGACTTTGGAAGATACTGGAGGAAGGTATTTTGATGTTTTGGTCAAAAAATCTTTCTTTGACAAGTTTCAGTTCAACGAGATAATATGCTGTAATATGCATGATTTATTACATAATTTGGCACAGTCTATTTCTTCAGAGGAATATTTCAGATTTGTGGGAGATAATGTTACATCTTTTAAAATTCCTAAAAATGCTCGACACTTATTTGTTAAAACTGGAAATCCAAACGTGTTGGGCACTTATTTGTTAAAACTGGAAATCCAAACGTGTTGAGAATGATTTCCAAACGTGTTGGGAATGATCAAAGATGTCAAAAATCTACATTCACTTTTTTTTATCAGTGACAGTGATGTTCATGATTTTACTGAAGTATTTACTGAAATTTTTAAGGCATCAAGAAGCATCCGTTTGTTGTTCATAGACTCTCGATGTCAGAAAAAGATGTCTGAGGCTATTAAAAAGTTGAGGCATCTTCGATATTTGAAGCTTACTGTAGATCTCACTCGGTTGCCAAGATCTCTAAGCAGCCTTTATCATTTGCAGTTCATAATCTATTCAAATGCGATTGGGAGATCTTGCTCTGATGATTTCTTGCCCGGTGATGTGAGTAATCTTTCTAATCTGCGTCACTTGGAATTGCCCCGGAATGTATTTTCAAGTGTACGTGGAATTGGGAAATTAAGGTTACTTCAAGAACTAAATGCGTTTAATGTCAAGAATGAGAATGGTTATAGAATTGGGGAGTTGGAACATATGAGCGAGTTGCGCAAATTAAAAATACATTTTCTGGAAAATGTGATGGATGCTAGAGAGGCTCACAATGCAAAATTATTTGAGAAGAGAAAACTCACTGATTTATTCTTGAATTGGAGCAAAACTGTTAATGAATGGCTATTAGACAGGGGAGTTGGAAGGCTACGGAACATTGTCAATTCTGACTTAGATGTGAATGTGCTTGAAAATCTTGAACCAGACAAAAATTTGAAAAGATTGTCCATAGTTTCATATAAGGGTGCATGCTCTGCAAAATGGATGGACAATGCCGATTTGATCTCCAATCTAGAGTACATCCGTCTGGAAACGTGTTCGGAGTGGGAAACTCTTCCATCTTTTGGGCAGCTTCCCCACCTCAAGTCACTGTATCTTTGGAACATGCCAAAAGCAAAGCGGCTTGATTATAAATTCCATGGAAATGACAAGGTTTCTGTGTTTCCATCATTGGAGGTGCTAAGTATGAAGGGATTACAGGTATTGGAAGATTGGTTTGATGGAGCAGGAGCAGGAGCAGGAGCAGCAGCATATGACTGTTTCTTTCCCTGCTTAACTGAACTCTTCCTCGATAACTGCCCAAATCTGCAGGAGTTGCCCTATTTGCCTCCTAAGCTCAAGAACATGCATATAGAAAGAGTTGGATGGAAAGCTCCTTTGAACTGCAAGCAAGGCTCCAACAACTGTGGCGGCATTTCAAAGTCCATTCCCCTGGAAAGATTAGAGGTCCATTCGTGTTCAAACATCACATATCTTCTTCAAGCGGATGCAAGACTTGAAGCACTGAGAAAATTGAGAATTGGAGGTTGCCCCAATCTGATTTCTCTCGGTGGACTGCTACAAGTGGAGAGTGGCATTGAGAAATCCCTTCGTGAGTTGACCTTTAGAGGCCTCGAATCCCTGCAGTTTCTCCTTCCCTCCATGGAACGCCTCGCTTCACTTAAGATTCTACGTGTAGGAAGAGTTCCTCAACTCCAGCAGCTTCTACACATCCCCGCCTCCCTGGAAGAAATACATCTTGAAGACCTGGAATCATTGCAGTGCCTGCCAACGTCTTTGTCGGCCATCTCATCACTCAAGGAACTACGGTTAGATAGCATTCCACTCCTCAAATCATTGCCAGACCTCCCTTCCTCCTTGTGTTCACTGTCTCTAGGTAGTCTGGATAACCTACAGTGCCTGCCATCTTCTTTGTCGGCCATCTCATCCCTCGTGCTTCTAGATTTAGATAGCATTCCACTCCTCAAATCATTGCCAGACCTCCCTTCCTCCTTGTGTTCACTGTCTCTAGGTAGTCTGGATAACCTACAGTGCCTGCCATCTTCTTTGTCGGCCATCTCATCCCTC